ACTTGGCTCTGAGGCCACAGCTGGTGCAGAGCGTTTCCTGACCAGGAGGACAAAGCCCAGAAGGCAGGCACCTGCTGGAAGCCACCCAGGGCCCGGGCACACACCATAGCCTGGGGTTCGGTGTCCCCCCGGGCGAGCTGGCCACCTCCTCAGCCTCCCTGGCGGTTCTCGTGGGGACGCTGTGTCCGTCCCAGAGCTGGACAACTCCCAGGAGCTCTGGTGTGTGCACAGGGCCTGGCCTCCGTTCAGAGGCCGCCTGCCAAGTGGGGCCTCGCTCGGCTGTGGCCGGGGCTGGAGCAGAGCCTGGGGCGGGAGGGGCGGCCGAGGGCTTGGGCCAGATCACAGCTGCATCCCCTCGCAGGTGTTTGGAAAGGGAGCCATCGCTGAGCCCCACGGAAGGAGCCCCTGCGTTCAGAGCACACCTGGCACCTGCCCTGGCCTGCGGGGCTCACGCTCCTGCATCTTGTCTGTCCCCAGCGCGGGCAGGGCTACCGTGTGCGCAGGTGCCACCCTTCCTCCGGCCAGTGGCTTCGGATGCAGAGGCCACAGCAATGGCTCCTGACGACTCTCCGACTCCCCGAGGGAGACTCGTGTCCCACTCAGGGTGAGGGAGGCTGGGGTCCCTGCTGAGCGGACTCTGCTCTTCCCCAGCACAGGTCTGGGTCCCCTGGGACTGTATTTCCCTTGTTTAGTTAAGGGGTGTTTGTTTAATTAAGGGGTGTTAACGTAAAAAAACATTGAAACCTGTAAAGAATTTTTGTGAGTTTATTTGAGCCAAACTGTTGACATATGCCGGGAAGCAGAACCTCAACGAATTGAGATAGTGCTCCGGAGAATGGCAGGTTACATCCGTGTTTATACAGGAAATTCATTGGTGACAGGTTTACGGAGGTGGGATTAAGCGAAGCAGGGAAACCTCTGTGATAGGATAAAAAGTAAAATGATGGACACATAAGTAGGTGGGTGCAGGATCAATTAACATGATAATGAAGGAATTTGTAGTATCTGCCCTGGCGCCCAAAACATTTGCTTGTGCCCCAGGGGCTCCAGAAAAAGGGAAGTTACAAGTGACCCAGACATTTCAAGGGAATGTTATCTTAGAGGCAAAAAGGCAAATGGGCTCAGTAAGGATCAAAGTTTATCTTGTCAGTGAAGATACTGGCCTAGGACATAACTGCCCACCATCACTGCTTTTAGTTAAGGTTTAATTTCAGACCATCCTTTGTGGTTATTTTAGGTCTCTGAGTCTGCTAGGCTGCCACGCAGGCCTCCCCTGAGCTTGTCAGGTCAGCGTGTGGCCCCTTTCGTCCACAGGGGTGTGCTCCACTTCGGCTCAGAAGCAGCCAATATTAGGGGTGCTGTGTCCTCCCCTGCCCCCCCCACGTGAGTGAAGCAGCAGATGGAGTTGGGTCTGTGTATAGAGACAGGAGGGTCTTTCTGAGTTGCCATGGAGACCACACAGCTCTTGCCCACCTGCTGCCTCTCCAGGAGTTCCCATGGGGCTGTGGGGTTCCAGGGGCATTTCCAGGGGCAACGCCTCCACGTGTGGTTGGCGGCGGCTCCATCAGAATGACATTGGAGCCTCAGTGCCAATGTCAAGTGGGTTGGGGTGGGGTTTGGTGTCTGGGTCACCTGGTGCCAGAGGGGCCTTATGGGGCCCGGGGTCCACAGGGGCCAGAGTGGGGAGCGGCCATGTCTAGGGTGCACTGACGACAGCCTCCCGGGGCCCAGGGACTGCGAGCCGGCGCTCAGTTTGCCAACTGTTAACCACCGCTGTGGCTGTGCTGGCCTTGGGTCCCTGTGGGCTCCACGTGGGTTTGGCCGACCAGCAGCGGCCGTCCTCCTGCCACCCGGCAGCACTGGGGGGTCGTCTACTGGTGCCTGCGCGGCCTCGGATTCGGCTCGATGCTGTCGGGGAACGGACACGGCCCTGCTTTGTGCCGCTGGTCCCTTCTCCTGACCTGCAGGCCCGGGGGCCTGGGCCCCGCCGCCCTTGTGTTATTTACGGAGGAACTGGATCCGCAGGGAAACCTCCGGGGACGAGGCACAGGCGGTCCGTGTCTGCCTCCGAGAGCTCGCGCGGCTCTGCAGCGGCTCTCACGGGGCCAGGGTGTCCGGGTTGCTCCTGGCCTTGCCCTCTGGGTGGCTCAGGCACAGGTTTCACTCACGTAGCCAAGGGCTGGCACAGTGCCCCCCTCGCTGGGCACGGGGTTGGCTGACACGTGCCTGGCTTTCCTGGACGGAGCCCTGGCCAGTGTCAGGGACCCACTCGGCGACTGTGGAGGTGGCCGGGGTCTCCTTGTGGAGTAAGTGAAGCGAAGTCAATAGTGAGAAGAGGTGAATTCCCTGCACAGAACTGAGTGCCATGGGGCAGACCCTGGGTGTGGTGAGGGGTGAGCTGGCCCCAGGGGGCAGCAGGCAGCACACAGCGACACAGCCTCCAGGGCTGCCCAGCACGTGCCATCACTCTCACTCGATTCCTGTGTGGCCTCCACTAAGGACTGCCTGCCTCCTGCCCAGCCAGTCACACCCCCTCGCCCGAGCCACACACCCCGGGGCCACCCAGGCGTCCAGCCGGCTGGAGCAGATACCTACAAGCTGAGCCTTTGAGCCCTTCGCAAGCCTCGCCCCCTGGCTGCTGCACTGGGCACCGTGCTGGCCTCGGGTGGGGTTGCGGCTGGGCTGCTGTCCGGGTCACCCTGGCCAGTCTCCCCCTCTGGATGGCCCTTTGCTCGGGGACGGAGGCTGCCACCTGGTCTCAGACAGCGATGCCTGGAGGGCAGCTGGGCTAGACGCCCTCCACGGGCATTTACCTGTTGCTGGCGGCGATTTGTTAAAAGGTCAGAGCGCTTCCTATGGGGCCTCCCCTCTCTGGGGCCGGTGGGAACCACCAGGTGCTGGAAAATTCTCTCTCTGCTGCATTGAAGCTGACCCTCCGTCCCTTTCGTCCCTTTGGCCGAGGAGGGGGTGACATGACGCGATGCCTGCTGCTTTCTCTCCGGGAGGATGTGGCCACTTCCCAGACCCTTCACTTCTTGTTACTGCTCCTTTGACGTCTGAAAGTCCCTTTGAAACCTGAGGCAGGAAAAACACACAAACAATGTGAGGCGAGCATGCCGTGAGTCTCCAGTGCACTGCTGTCCATCTGTGGAGGCCGCGGGCGGTGGCCGGTGGCGAGGGGCTCCCGGCAGGAGGGAGGACCTGGCCTCCTAGGAGTGAATGGCCGACACGCCCCCCTTTTAGTCTAGTTGCTGAGTCCAAGTTTCCTCAGATTTAAATGGAGGACGCAGTGCCTCCCAAGGGCGGGAGAGTGAGCGCAGTGCGTGGTCGGTCATGTCCCACACTGGGCGCTGTGTGTGTCCTGAGCTGGAATCCGCCCCGGCCTCTCCCACCTTCTGGGAGAATCCTCTCGGCCAGACCCCGTGATGTGACCAAGTCTCCCGGGAAGCGGGAGGCTCCCCCCCAGGCCCAGGCTGGACCCGCTGGGCTCCCTGCTCCCAGGCCTCAGGCGGAGGCGGGCAGAGCCGTGGGGGAAGGAGCATGGAGTCTGGTGAGCGGCTCTCACTCACATTCACTGTCTGGCTGACCCTCCATGTCACTCTGCTGGATGAGGGTTAAGTACAGACACGTGGGGAGCTCAGCTATCCCAACTGTAAAAAATGTTTTTTTATTGATTTGAGAGGAAGGGCGGGGAGAGAGAAACATTGATTTGTTCCACTCATTGATGCTTTCATTGATTGATTCTTACATGTGCCCTGACCGGGATTGAACCCACAACCTTGGTGTATAGGGATGATGCTCTAACCAACGGAGCTACCCAGCCAGGGTCGGACATTATTTTTAATTGGCTATTCCTATGTTTAACAGGGGAGGGTGTGTGTGTGATAAATCAAACATTTAAGTATAAACTTACAAAGGGGGTGGTTCCCCCAAACGAAGCCGAGTGGACAATGAGAACGGCTCCTGGCTCCCGCGATGGAGGAGGTCGGAGCCGGGAAATGGCTTCATGGGGCCTTGGGCACCTGCAGCTTCGGGCCGTGGCCGTGCCAGCGAGGTGTGTGTGTGCTGGGGTGTGTGCTCCTGGGCAGGTCTGTGGGGGAAGGGAGCTGAGTGCCAGCCTCTCAGCCCTGCTCTGGCCTTGCTCCCAGCCCAGACACCCACTGGGATCGCTGCTCCCAGGCCTCAGGCGGAGGCGGGCAGAGCCGTGGGGGAAGGAGCATGGAGTCTGGTGAGTGGCGCTGTGTGTTGAGTGTTTCCATCCCACGTCCCGCGTGGGTCAGGGTTCAGGAACTGGAAGCAGAGCCACACACAAATGAATATGAAAAGACAAGAGATAATTGGAAATATTGGGGGACCAGACGGGCAAGTCCAACTCAAGGGGAAGGACTTCCTCCGGTGCTCAGGCCTCACCAAGCTTTTATTGATTCTGGGATGCACCCATAGCATAGCCCTTAGCAGGTGACCCCTGGCTAGCCCATCAGCAAGGATTTACATAATAATAAATGGGGGAGTAGTTTCAGCTACCACTGTCTGGACAAACAGAGGTGGCGCCTAGCTCCGACCTTTGCTAGGGCTTCAAAGGCACCCAGCCTTGGTGGTGGTGGGGGTGGGGGGGTGGTTCTCTGTCTATGCTTATCAGATAGTGAAGACAATAAATTGTTTCCCACAGCTGTGGTGTGAGGGACAGTGCCCGTGGGGGACAGTGCCCGTGGGGGACAGTGCCCATGGCCCACGGAGACAGTGCCCGTGGGGGACAGTTCCCGTGGGGGACAGTGCCCGTGGGGGACAGTGCCCATGGCCCACGGAGACAGTGCCCGTGGGGGACAGTTCCCGTGGGGGACAGTGCCCGTGGGGGACAGTGCCCGTGAAGGACAGTGCCTGCGGGGCACAGAGCCCACGGGGGACAGTGCCCATGAGGGACAGTGCCCGTGGGGGACAGTGCCCTTGGCCTGTGAGGGACAGTGCCCGTGGGGTCAGTGCCCGTGAGGGGACAGTGCCCGTGGGGGACAGTGCCTGTGAGGGACAGTGCCCGCGGGGGACAGTGCCCGCGGGGGACAGTGCCCGTGGGGAAGGGCTGTGCCCAGGCAGAGACCCCAGCCGGACGTCCTCACCTGACTGCCCTTGGCAAAGGCTTGGGCGGCTCAGGAGGAGGGGAGGCTGGTGTTCATGCGGAGGATCAGGTGAAGGACACGGGACCCAGCCCTGGGGGAGTGCCAGTCACTTCCTCGGTGCCGGCCCCCCTTGCGCGGCTGGTAGACACCGGGGCTCGCACACGCCTGCCTGTCCCCAAGGCAGAGACTGTGATTCCAAACGTTCTGCCATCTTGGCAGGAGTTAAAAATTTCTTCATTTTTATTTTTAGGTAATGCAGTCACCCATCCTGTCTTTTTGTCACGTGCCGGGCGTTTTCGTTACCATAGAAGGAACACACAGCCCCGAGCCCGAGCGCCATGCGGACGCAGGCCTGTTAGAGAGCTTTGTGAGACCCAACCAGCCGTGGGAGGCCGGCCTGTGCCTCCATCCCTGCCCTGTGGCCTCCGGCGTGAGGGCGCTGGCGTCTGGCCTTCCCTGCTGGGCTGTTAGCTGCTGGCTGGCAACCAGCAGAGTGGTTAGCAACACGTAGCAGCGCTGCATACAGCAGTGTGTAACCGGAGGCCGATGCACGACATCCATGCGAGGGCAGGCCTTCCTTCTCCAGCTGCGGGCACCGGCTTCCCCCGGCACCCGGCCCTGGGTTTCCCTCGCAGCCCCCGCTTCGTCCAGAAGGTTGTTGGGTCTAATTAGCATATTACCCTTTTATTATTATAGATACTTGACACACAGAGGGTAAATGAATATTAGAAGACGACAGAAAGATTTGCAGGATTCGGACAGATTGTGATCATTAGGCTGAGAAGGCAGGAGGGCTGGGGGCTGCTCTGCCGTCAGCTGGAGGGTGCCGTGGGCAGACCCTGCCTTGGCTGGTGGGTTCGCCCCCACCCCGCAGCAGCCCTGCAGAGCCCGGAGTCGCCCGCCCCCTGTGTGTGCGCTGCTCTTTGATGTCCCAGAGAAGAGTGAGAAATCAGTACTGAATATGAAAATAAGGGCGCTGGTTTCTTGGAACGTATGAAAAATCTAGAAAACAGACCCAGTTTTATTTTTTAAAGAATGTGACTGCAGCTACAGAGACACACTCTGTCCCCTGTTCTTCCTCAGGAATCTGTGCCTGTGAGTGATTAGATCTGAGCTGGCAGTTGTCAGTGAGGCTGTAATAAAGTGCAGCTGTGGTCTCGGGCATCCGCCAGGCTGTGTGCGATGCCCTGCTCACGCTGGGCCCTGCACACCCCCGTCCTGTGCCCTGCAGCCCTTCCTGGTTCTCACCCCTGGAACCCTGAGCGAGTATTTTGATTTTCTCCCATCCACCTGGCTGGCCCTTCGGAGAATTCACTGAAGCTCACGACTTGGTAGCCAGACTGCACAGAGCTTGTGAACTGGCAGCCAGACGTGGACCGAGCGTTTCTTCCTGGGAATCGAGGCAGGTTTTCGGTCCCGATGCTGTTCCCTGTGCGTGCCCACCTCGCGGGGCCCCGTGCCCCGTCTGTGGAAGTGCCGCTCATGCCCAGGACAGAAGGCGCTGAGAGGAGGGTGCCCGACCTTGGGTGGCAGGGCCTGGGCCGGGACGGGCAGGTGTCCACGGAGTCACTGTTGCCACGCGGCATTCGGACTTTCAGAAAACGCTGCCTGCTGCTGGCAGGCCAGACCCAGGGGCCGCCGGCTGTGGCAGCGGAGTTTTCAGAGCAGCAGCAACACCAGCCAACACCAGCCACTGCGCCCTCCGAGCGAGGACCTCCGATAACACGGGGCAGAGAGCCTGGGACCAGGAGCGCCCTGACACTCACTCTCACACGCGTGCTGCGCTCCCAGCAGGGGCAGAGGCACTGACTCACACGGAAGCCGGAGAGCAGGCTCCCACAGCCTCTCCTGGTCTTGCGTGGCCACGGGGTCAGGATCAGACCTGGATTCGAATCCCACCCGTGACTGGCTGTGCAGCCTCAGGCAGATCACTGAACCTCTCAGCCTCCGTGTCCTGTCCTCATCGGTAAGATGGGGGTCTCTGTCTGTTGTGAAGATGAAATAAGGGCATTTGTGGAAAGCCCCTTCATGGTCGGAACCCAGCCAGTGCCGGATGTCCGTGACCGACACTGAAGGGCCCGGGAGGGACCGGCCCAGGACACTCACTGTTTTCCCAGCGGAAGGAACACTGCGCGGATTTAAGGGTGGATGAGGTGTCAGTGGCAGCAGGTGTGTCCCCTCTGCTGGGAGGGGCCCCAGAGATGTCACTGCCCCAGGTCCCAGGGCTCAGGGTCACCTCTCCCCCCGATCCCCCCGCGAGGGGAGCCAGCCCCTGAGGGGAGGGGAGAGGCGGGTGGGGGAAGGGGGACCCTGCTGGGAAACCCTACCTTCTCCAGGCACCAGAACGAAGGACACCCAGCTGCCTCCAAGGCCCCTTTGCCAACAGGGCCTGAAGTCACACTCCCTCCTCAAGTGCACATTCCTCTTTCTACCACAGCTCTCTCATACCTGCACTCCTAGGCCGATCAGGCAGCGCCAGGCCAGTGGGCAGGAGACGCCATGGCCTGGCTGTGAGGATTCCCAGACCAATCCAGGCTGGACCCTCCCCAGCGGGTGGCTCAGCAGGGAGCTTCCCCAGGGGCCCGGGGCCCTGATACAGACAGACAGCGACAGGGATGGGCTCAGCCGGACAGACAAACAAGTGAGCTCTGCGGGACGACAGATGCGATGGCTTACCCTGAGCGGGAGCTGCCGTGTCTCATCCAGTGAGCTCACCCTCTTTCTCCAGAAGGCCCGCCCGCCCGCGCCTTCTCTCCCTCCCAGAGGCTGGAGCCCAGGGGACGAGCTCTCCAGGACACACGCTGGGGCCTGCCATCGAGACCGTGGGGGATGGGCTGGGGCTGGGCAGGTCCAGCCCACTCTCACGGGAGCAGCCCCGCAGGCGCTGAAAGGCCGCCGCGGCCCGTTGGGGGTAAACCCGTGTTAATGAAACATGCACAACCAGCATTACTGTGACTTGTTGCCTATCTTCGATGTGAATGAGATAGTGAATCCACACCTTAGCGCATTTCAGTGTAAATTTCATAAGATTCTCAGGCTCCTTTGAATTCATGGTCCTATTTTTTTTAATATATTTTATTGATTTTTTACAGAGAGGAAGGGAGAGAGACAGAGAGCTAGAAACATCGATGAGAGAGAAACATCGATCAGCTGCCTCCTGCACATCTCCTACTGGGGATGTGCCCACAACCCAGGTACATGCCCTTGACCGGAATCGAACCTGGGACCTTTCAGTCCGCAGGCCGACGCTCTATCCACTGAGCCAAACCGGTTTCGGCTCATGGTCCTATTTTTAGAGGAATTTGGAGAAACAGTTCCCTGGCTCATCACTCGTCTGCATCTCCGCAGTGTCTGGCCACGGGAGAGACCCGCACGGAGCATCCCTCTCCTGCGAACCTTCTGAGCCTGCAGTTTATTCTCTCAGAGCTGGACCTCCAGAGGGAGGCAGGTGCTCCCCGGCTGTGTCACAAGGACCGCCCTCGGCCCCCAGCTCAGGTTTGGGAGTGAGCCCTGTGGGTCCTGCGCTGGCCTCCCCACCAGCCCTGCAGGTTGGGGAGGGAGGAAGTGGGTTAGGAGGAGAGGAGTTGCTCAGCTGTGAAATGGCAATGAAATGCCAAGTTCACCGACTGAATTACGGGGTGATGTGCAGCACTGCACTCCGGGCACGCCCCGAGCTGGTGTCCAGGAATATCTGCCCGTGTCCTCTGTGGGGACCCGCTGTGTGGAAAGAGGCTTCGACAGCAGAGGGCGCAGCCCGTGGCCTCGCTGCGTGGGCATGGGGATTCGTCTCGGAGGAATTCTAGGACCTGCCACGCGTGACAGAGGCCGGTATAAAGCCATCACGCTGTTCGCGGAGGCGTCGGTGTGAATGTGCTCTCGCCGGCCACACGGGAGCCACGAAGCCAGGCCACCGCGCTTGCTCTCGGGAAGCTAGACCCTGATCGGGAACAGACAATGGAACCAGGAGCGACTTGAGACTGCCCGTGAGTGGATTTCCACAGACTGACAGCCCAGCAAGGAGGCAAGGCACTGGGAGAGAAACCACAGAAAATCAATGTTTATACTTTTGCTCTCAATTATTTGATAAACCAAAGAAGAGTCTAGAAACTTTCACAAT